CCTTAATGAACGCAATTAGTATTTATTGCAATCGGGTTTTTGATGCAGACACTGCACACAGCCTTCGAAAACGCTCCAAAAGATCGTAATGGGAAAATCTCAAAGGACTATTTACGTGTTGTGCTGGATCAAGTGGCTCCATCAGCTGGGTTACCTCCAATTGGTGCAGTTGAGGAGGTATTGTTTCGAGACCTATCTTTGATCCAACCAATATCCATTTAAGTTTACGCTTAACTGGTTTTGCCTGTCCTGGATACTGATCAGAATCTCTATTTTTGTATTAACATTCTATAGATGGACAAAATTATCGAGGATGTGCTGAAAATTACAAACGCGGATGATGGAAAGATGGTTAAAGAAGACGAATTCAAGAAACTCTTGACTGAAATCTTGGGAAGCATCATGTTGCAGCTAGAGAGCAATCCCATCTTGGTGTCTTCTAATTCGGTTGTGCACGAGCCACTTGCCTCATCTTCTACGCTACTGCAGCCGTCTTCCTAGTTTACTAATAACATATATATGGTAACTGTCTATGATATATCAAGTAAACAAAAAGTAAGTAAAATAAATTAATTTTGGCCAAAAAGTTATCTTTTGCATAAGATATGTATTATCAGTTCATCGATTATGCCAATGGCATATAACTGCCGTATGTATATTATCTTTTTATAGAATCAAATATCCGGAATCGTCATCATAGACCATATTCAACTACTAATAATTTGAATGACATCTTTACAAAGATTTTATTTTAATGGTTTTGACTGATAGAAGACTGATAAATTTGAAAAAGGACAGAACTTTTTAAGGTCCATCACCTTTCTCTTGAAGAGAAGAGTTGGGAAAGTCCTTGGTTCCCCAACAAGCCTTGGCCAATCTCATTGCATCATACTCTCCTTCAACCCAATCAAGCCCTTGTTTAGGTAAAGTCAAGCTGAAACCATAATAAACAATACAAGCAAAAAAAGATCCTACCCAGAAAACCCAATGACCTTTCCATAGTAATCCACCTTGCAATATGGCAGCACCAAAGCACTTTGCTGGATTTAAGCCGGCACCCGCATAGGCAGTCTGGCCCGTGACTGTAATCGATACAAACACAGCAAGTGCCATTGCTCCCGCAATTTGAGCACATACTTTTGATACGCCAAGCTCCTTGGACCTCCTCTTGTCGAAAGCTACATTTACTGCTACGAAAAGTACTAAGAATGTGCAAGAAAACTCTAGCATCAATGCAACTCCTAGGTGTAACCCAGTTGATCCATGTCCCTTAATGCTGCAGCCTCCTAAAGAGAATTTAGTAGCAGAATCATGGTTCATCACACTCTTGATTATGATGAAACTTATGATAGAGCCTAAACATTGTGCTAAGAAATAGAAGGCAGCACGAGTTATTGTTATGATGCCTTTGAGGGTGGCAATGAATGTGAAGACTGGGTTCATATGGCCGCCTGAGATAGGAATTGTCGCCATGAGGAAGAAAAAGAGGATGACAAAGACGACAATTGGAACGAGAAGCTTTGATTCTACCTCGTGAAAGTTTAGACACGCGACAATAGAAATAGTCAATGTAAATAATAGACATGTTGTTCCTACTAATTCAGTGATTGCTGCTCCCCACATCTGTAAAAATTAAATTAAATTTTTATAAATTAACAAAATTTTATAGAAAAAAAAAAACATACGAATCATTTAATTTATAAATTATATATTATTTAACAAAATTATAAAATCAACTATAAGAGTTTAAACTTTAATTTCATATGATTAATTAATTGTAATTAAATTATTTATAAATGAACAATAATGATTACCTCTTGAGAGAAAAATTCATGAGCACCAATGGAAGCCAAAAAACTATTGTTCTTAGATATTCTTGTTGGACTTGTTTTATCATAATTCTCAATTGAAGTAGATAAAGCACTATGAGTGGATCGATCAGAGGAGACAATGACTGACTCCATGGTGTCTAAGAACTTATGAATGTAGAGCTGGCTAGAATGCAAGAAAATGAGCTTTCTGTTCATATATATGTATATATATATATATATATATTCATGGCACTGCTTAGCAGAGTAAATTTAAATAACACTGATAAAATAAAAGATTACTAATTATTTTTTAAAAATAAATTTTTGAAGAAAAAATCCAAAAGACAGCTAATAAATGTTTATAGGGATTATCTAGTGGTAGCTGAGAAAGAGTTGTTTGGCAGTGAAGTGAATCAGCATGTTCATCAACTAGAAAATATATATATATATATATGTGCGTGTGTATATGCTCTGTTATATACCGTATATTGTTTTATTAGTCTAAGATATGGGAATTTCTAAGAGATAATACCCAACTAATCTTTACTCAAATCATTAACTAAGAAATAATAGAAAAACAAACAATATTATCTTGAGAATTTTCTGAACATATACCTTATATATACATATACAAATGTAAGATATGCTGCATATAATTGCAATGAAAACATATATATACTGATGAACATTTTGCATTTATTCCATCAGACGATGAAACCAAGGCATGTTTGGTTAGAGACCCAACATTAGCATTTGCAGGATCGATACAAACCTACAAAACCTACCTTACTTTAACAGCATTAATATATATATATATATATATATATATATAATATAACAGTACACCATAATAATTACCCATCAACATGCTCCTTAATTTAATCTCCACCGTGAAAATGTTCACGAGGAATCATCTTTATATATAATGCAAAAGCTACACAAGCTATAACTGGGCCTGCCCAAAAGACCCAATGTCCACTCCATAGATGGCCTCCTCTTATCAGCGCTGGGCCCAAACATCTCGCCGGGTTCATCCCAACCCCGGCATAGCCCTTTGTTGCAGTCACTGTCGTGGATACAAACACGATTAAGCCCACAACCACTCCGATTACAAGGCAAACCATGAACCGGCCCAAGGCCTTGGCTTGACGATAATCGAAGGCAACCCATATCGACGCAAAGAGAAACACAAATGTACAAATTATCTCGAGCCAAAGGGCCTGGCCTGTCTCAAGCCCGATCACTACTGGTCCGTGTCGGCCAGGAACGACAACAGTGAGCGTGCAACCTCCGAGTGAAAATGTTTGTTGAATGGTGCTGTTTACCACAGCTTTTAGGGCCAATGCACCTAGAATGCCACCAATACATTGGGCCAGAATGTAGACGATAGCCCGAGAGACCGAAATGAGGCCCGTTAGAACAGCGGCAACGGTTACAATAGGGTTGATGTGGCCGCCGGAGATCGGAGAGGTAGCGAGGAGGAGAATTGTGACGGTGATGGCAACAAGAAATGACATTATAAGGTGTGGAGTCTTGGTTTGAGTCTCATAGGAAGATATGACTATTGTGTCCATTGCAAAAACAAGAACTGCTGTGCCCAGAAGCTCTGCCAAAGACGCTCTCCATACCTAAAATTATTATGTTAAATAAGAAATTATGTATATATATATATATATATAAAAATGAAGCTAAAAACACACTGACTCTAAACCTTCAAGAAAATAGGTCTTTGAAGCCCAAGACTCCTGTCAATGTAGTTGGAGTTTTCTTCTTCCCTTTCTCTGTATTCCTTTGCTGAGCCCTGTAAAATATTTGTTTCAAAAGAACAGTTTAGAAAATCTTAAATTAATTTCTCAAAAAAAAAAAAAAGAGAATTATTGCCTGTTCAAAATTATTCCTTCAATTTTCACTTTCTTTACAACCCTTAGAATTGAGGATCTCAACTCTACATAACCTAATATATTTTGATATTCAATTTTTAGCATATGTAATTAGAAATTTTTTCATCAATTTTGCATAATTTCAAATGCATTCTTGGATTTTACATTAAATCCTTAAAATCTTAAAAAGGTGAACTTAATCATAATTTTATATGTAATTAGAACAATACCCTCATAATTTTTTCATCAATTTTGACACATTTTCATTAAAAAATAATAATTTTTTTTTTTGTCATTTTAATACAATTTAGAACTTTTCTAAATTACCCTAAGCATGAATTTAACAATCTTTTTTTAAAATTTATTGAAATATATATATATATATTATAGGGTATAAATGGAAGTAAGTACTTACATTGGTGTAGAGGCAACTGGTTGAATTCTGGTGGCAGAATAGGGATTCTCTTCATCTTCAACCACAATGGCTCCTCCATTTCTAGCCATGTCTCCACCTTACCTCTTTCTTCTCTCTTCATTTATAGACACAAGCTTAAGCAAGTTGTGTCAGTTGCAGTCTCACATGCCTCTAATAAATTTCTATTTAATACCAAGTACCTTACTTAATTTTAAAAGGAAAAAATCCAGTATCACCCATTTCATTTAAGCTACATACCTAATTTTTTTATTGTATTTACCCAATTTAGCTTTGCTCATTAGAAGAATATTGGTTAAAACAAATTTTTTCATAGTCCATTTCAAAAATAGAAATTCAAAAACTATAAAATAAGGTCACTGTTTGTATATACGTGATAATAAAATACCCGATTTCTAATAACAATTATAGAGTAATTTTTTGTAATATAAAATATTTAATGGAGAATCAACAATTACATAATCACTCTATTAACCAACAGTAAAGTGATTATGCTAATATTATGAGAGCAGATAAATATCAGTTTTTGCACATTCTTAATATTATTATGCTTATGAATTATCAACATTTAGAACAAACTTTAAATTACTTATTTATGTTAGTGATTATAATATGATTTAATTTTATGGGTATATTATTATTATTATTATTATTATTATGTAAAATGCAAGAAGTGTACAAGTCTGGTATTAATTGGGCTGATAAATTAGAAGTGAAATAAATGTGGGAGTTTTAAGTCTGCGTCACTGCATTTAGGTGGCCATCAGAAAGTGTCTTGAGAACGGCGAGACATGTTATTTAATTTTCTGGGTGAGATGACTCTCCATCAATTAATGAGTTTGTTTCGTTCTTGGGAGAGTTGACTTCATTAACACAACTATAACTATAACTATATATATATATATAGTTATATATATCAAGGACGTAGTAGGTTTGAAATCGTTCTTGGGCTGTAAGCGCGACATGCACTGAGTAAGGCCCGAGATTCAAACCAATTCGAACAGTAATGTGACGATCCAGTCAACCACATTTTTGAGAAAATGCTCGGCGGAACAAATTCCTACACACCATTTTGAAAAAGTGTGCGAGCTCATCAGACATAACTTCTCTCTAGTGAACATGTCTAAGAACTTATGGAACACAAGTGGGTTCAACTGAATTAGGTAGAAGATGAGTGGCACTGGTTTGATTTAGACCGTATGGTTTAAAATTTTTGGTTTCAGACAAGGTAATCATGTGATGCAAAAAGATTAGAGGTAGTGGGATAAAGGTTGTAATAGACTGAGTTGGGTGAGGAATAGCTAAGGATATCGTGGGTGGGCAAGGTGGTTGGGGGAAGAACCAGTAAGTGGCAAATGAGGTGAATTGAGTAATAGAATACGTATCCTCGTAAAAAGGAGTTAATATTGACGTCGATTAGGGTTATAGCAAAATGAGTAATAGAATACGCATTATTTTATGAACTACTAATAGTTGTGAATCTGTAAACAAAAGAGTCAATTAAAGAAAATAAAATGTCAAATATTGGAAGATAAATTAAATAAAGCATTTTCAATAAACCAAATATGTTCGGAAATATAAATTTTTAGAGTTTTCTAATCTACACGAAAAATAAGCAATTTGGTCAAACAAGTAACCGAGAAAAACATAAGGTGAGGATTTTTTGCTCTAATTTATGAGAAGAATATTGTTTGAGCTACGAAAAACATAAACAACCAAAAACACGGCGCTATAATTTGATATTTGATCAAATAGTTTTTGATGTAGAGAGAAGAAGCTGAGAATAAAAGCAGAAAGACGATTAATTAAGTAAACAATTGTTTGAAAGGTATAAGATCAATACTTATATCATTTTTTTTTTTTTCAAAATTCGGTTTTATTTGATTAATTAGATAAAAATTATATAATAATAATGATATAACGATAATTAGATTCGGGGTCAGGTCTCCCGATTCTTTTTTTTTTCTCTTCTTCATGCCCAGCCTTTTTGTAGTAGAGAGAGTACCAGAAAGTTTGGTCTTTCCTTATATTAAACACCAGCTACTTGTTTTAATGTTGAATCATTTAGTTAATATAATTTGTTGTATCTAACCCTAATTTATACTAGAAATGCTCTCTTTATACTCATTGGTTTAATATAATAAATTTGTCCGTATGACTTTCGGTCACGTAATTTTTTATTCATATTAAAGAATTTTTCACGTAAATTTAATGTATTTTTTTTGTTTATTGATGACTGATAAGTAAATTTTATTGACTATCATTGTGAAAGATTGATTTTAATAGTTTACAGACAATTTTATGTTTAAGCTTGCCTAAGAGATCCTGGTGTATGTGTATATATATAAGAAATAATTATATATACCTTCTGTTGACAGTTAAGCCGCACCAGGAAATTCTGCTCCCTTATGGTTTAACTTAGTTCAGCCTTGAAACCAATGAGCATGTACAAGAAACTCTAGCTGTTTGGAGAATTTTTATGATATACATCAATATGACCCACATTCAATATATACACATATATATATATATGATGTATTGTATGTATCTGTATGCTATATGCAAACTTATACGGTCGGGTTGATTCTAGTTCTATATATTATTGTCTTATATTTAAGGAAAGAATGTCATGGTTATCTCTGTAATACCCAATAATTTATTTTATTTTTATTTTTTAAAAAATAATTATTTATTTATTTTATTTTAATTTAACGAAAAAAAAAGGTAAAAATTTGTTAATGATTAAATTGAAAATAATTTTGAAAAAAATGAGTGAAAATTTAAGTTCTGAGAGTATTTTTTAAAGAAAAATCAGAAATCGGAGATCAAAACGCAATTTAAAAAAATAGTGTTACGTCAAATGCTCGGTCAGTAGCCCCGACCAACCAGGATGTGCCATGTGGCAGAGACACTGACACGGAAGGTCACGCGGGGAGGAGCCATGTGGGCGATTCGGGTACGCGCAATCGAACAGTTGAGATCTGTTCCTGCCCACACAAACGGTCCAGATTGAAATCGCGCACGGATAGTCCAGATTGAAATCGCGCACGGATAGTCCAGATTGAATCACGCACAGACGGCCCAGATTGAATCGCGCACGGATGGCCCAGATTGAATCGTGATGAACGGTCCAGATTCACTCTCTATTTAATCGCGATCAGACGGTCCATGTCAAAAGCGATAGACATATCATATCAAAAGCAGATGGGTATAAATAACCTCATCCGCACCTAAACCCTAACTTTAACCGCCAAAACCCCTCGCTGGAGAAGACAGCCCAGCCGCCGAGGAGCCAACCGCCGCCACTTGCCGCAGCACCGAAGTAATTTTCGACCGCCAAACAAGGTAAAAATTTCATCATTTGCTCATAATTTAATTTTAAACACGCCCATGACCAAATCACAGCAAAAAGACCGACCGATTGGCCGAAAAACACTGGCAAAGTCCGGCGGCGCCGCTGTAGGGTATTTCAAAAAACACTTCCAATGAGGCACTTCTCGATTTCCGTTCGATGTGATTTTTTCACCGTTGTGATCACCGTTTCCTTCTCTACAAGTTGAACAGAGCAAAACACCTAACCGCAACGTGAGTCGAAGGAGCCGCCGCACCGGAAAGTCTCGCCGCCGGTGAGTTTCAATTTTCTACATTTTTTCGGCCAACCGAGGGCCTTAAGTGTGTTTTCTCGCAGGAACTTATGCAAATTTAGCTGAATTCAGCCTAAAACGGCTGAAAATAGCCAACTCTAGGCCCTGTGACTGATTTTTAGGTTATTTGGGACATTTGTAGGTACTGTAAACGCGTTTCAGTTCCCGAAAAAAAATTTATGGACCCCAGGGACCGCCCGTAGATGCAGTAAACCATTTAGTTTTTTGGTATCAATCAAGTAAGGACCCCTCACCCTATTTCCTATCATGAAATTGAAGTTTGACTAAATGATAATACTATATTTTGTACAAATTAAATAGATGAACATAATTAATTACGGCTTGCTAATGGAACCCGAACCGGACATTGTTCTTTGTTGATTTCTATTGATTGATCTTGCAGGCTAAAGCATGATAGTTTCTAGTTTATCTATTTTATGGTTTAAATGCATATATAATATGATTGCATTGCCGGATGCATGTTTATTTGTTTATATAATTACGTTTGATTTGGTAACGGAGACTAAGGAAAAACAGGAAAAGGGTGTGATCTAATACACAGATAAGATGACAGCCTCACTAGATGTCCTAGGAGATGATGGACAGACCGGGTTCATAGGGAACCCTACCACGAATGTTGTCCCATACCGGATGGGGTATAGAGACTTGGTAATTTAGTGCTCATACCGAACGGGATATAGGGACGGCCCGTTTCACCCTCATATCGGACGGGGTATTGAGATTTAATATCTTGACACTCATACCGGATGGGGTATGGGGACGGCTCTGTAATTAAGATTGTTAAGGAAAATGGGTCACGTGTAGCAGGAACACCCATATGGATCCCCATGGATACTAGTAGGCTGGTGAAACGAGAGACAGTTATGATTTAATTTATTGTTAATGAATGTGAATTTATGATATGTTCTATGTTGCTGATCGTGCATGAAGTTGTGATCTGTATGATATTATTGCTTCTATAATTTGTTTTCATAAATTCCCAATGGTAAGTGAAGGGTAAATGATTTTATTTTTAATAAATGTATTAGTTTAAATTTAGTGCTCTATTAGTTGTTTTTTATTTTCTACTAACCTTTGCTTCTGTGCCGGTAATATAGTATGATGTCCTTACTAGACTAGTGTAGCTCATCCTTTATTTAACCATTTCAGATCAAGAGGACCTGGTTCCAGAGCTCGATCCGTAAGAAGATTACAAGTAGGTGCTAGATACTTTATATTTTTCTTTACTTTTCTCATTTCTCGTGTTTCCTTTAGAGAATTCATTTCGTAATATTTAGTACTTCTAAGTTATTGTGTAAGGGATGTTAATCTTAACCTTTTATTTTGCTTCCGTACTTAGTTATTATATATACTTCCTTTTGGATTTTCGGGGTCGTTACAGTTGGTATCAGAATTGTGTTCCTCGGACCCGTCCCTTACACAATAATACTTAGAGAAA